TATATATATATTATTGATAATAATAATATGAATAATAAAAATAATAAAGATAATAACCCAAATATTTAAGATTAGGCTAATCATGTAGATGATGACAATAATAAAAAAAAAAAGCATATGTTAAGCTGCCAACAATGCAAAAGAACAATGTTAAGCACCAAAAGATGATTTAAGATCACCAAGTTGCATTTAAGCTAAATTTTTTTACATAAAACATTGTAACATATGAAAAGGAGTAAATGTTAGAAAATCACTATGAAGAAAAATAAATAGAGATAGGTACGCAAATAATCACTCTTTAGGCATTCTAACAATGCAAAAGGGATAAAGAATTAATTAACATATGAATGCCTCAAATTTACAAATGTTTTGTGAGGAATTTGATTCTAAATAAAAAAAAATACAAGTAAAAATTCAAAACTAGGAACATGACAGGAGTAAGGAATCATTTATCAAATAAGAGTAAATACAATAAAAGGAAACAAATTTCCAATAAGCATTTAATATATCAATAGTAACACCAGAACAATGTACCACAATGAACCCAAGTGGCACCTAAATCCACCATAAAAGTAGGAAAAAGTTGAAACTTATTTACGAATAAATTTTTTTAGCATATAGCGAATATTGCGAGGGGCAGAACCGACTTCGAATTTAGTGTGGGCAAAATCATCATATGTTTATTTTTTTATATATTGAGCAAAAAACAAATTTACTAAATTGCTTGAATAACAAAAGAAAGAGTTATTAAATTTTATTATTTCTATAGAAAAATCTCAAATTACAGGATGGGAAATTGGACATAACTTGGTTCTGCCCCTATATTACCATAAAATATTTACACAAAATATCAAAAAATTAAAAAGAATTTAACTTGTAATTAATATTATGCTTATTACATAAAGACAAGCAGCTCAGCATATGACAACAAATGTAAAGCAAAGCTGATGTTTAACAATCTCAGAACTTGAAACATAAAACTGAGGGCTAAAACAATACCTCTCCAGCCTTAACAGCAATAACATGTGGAGTAAATCCAGTTCCTGCAGATCCTGTAAGATATTTTCTTAAATAAGAATCAATCGTAGAAAAATGAATATAAAATTGTTAATACATGTTAAATATAAATCACATAAAAACTTCAACTGTTTGTACCAAGAAACAACAGCAACAACAACAACAAAACCTTTATCCCACTAAGTGGGGCCTGCAAAGCATGAAATAATTATAAATCCTTATCAATTTAATCACAAAAAAAAACAATTTTTTTAAAGCCTCTAAAACCGAACAAAAATGGCAATTACAGAAGCAAAACTCAACAGCTAGATCCCGGGCTTTATCCAAACTGCGCCATTATTTTAACAAAATAAAACTTAAGGAAGCCAACATATAAGACAATGCTAGACTAATATATATATATATATATATATATATATATATATTGAAATTAATAACCATCCTATTTATTTAACAAAACAAGACTTCATAAGATCTAAAAAAGGATAAGGCTCACCATTTTGTAAAATTTAAATAACAAGTCAATCGTTGATGCATTCACTATAAAAAGTTAAAAAACTCAATAACAAGACCATGGGCCCAAATGTAATTTCAACTATATTCTTCCCCGCACATCAAATCCACCCGAAAAAATTTTTCTTTTTGCACTTTGCCAGAACAATCCCTTCACCCCCAACAATTAACCGACCTATCTCACCCCTCTCCATCACCAATAACCACATAATTAATCTACCAGAAGTTCCAGAGCAAAAATAATTAAAAAGAAACTAAGAACCCAAACACATCAATAATAAAAACAGCTATAACAAGTAAATTACCAAGTGCCAGCAACTGCTGCTTCTTTCCAGAGCCTAAAGGTCTTCCCTTTATCTTCTTCATGGGATCACCTTGAACAGAAAGATCAATGTTTCCCTGTCCCATTGAAAGTGGAGAGAAGCCTCCGATGCCTGGTGGAGTTCCGGAGGTCGGAGAAACTGGGTTCAGAGCAAGGGCCATGGTACCATCAGGGGCATACTTTCTAGGCCTCCCTCGCTTCTTCTTCACCAGCTCACCGGTTGTCACATTTAGGCCATGAATGGCCGCAACAGGTGGGGCGGGAGATCCATCACTCCCAATGCAGACGGCGGAGTTTCCTCCCGGAAAAGGGGGAGCTGAAACACTAGCGATCGTGGGGACAGGTGTAGCGTTTGTCGCGGAAGTAACTTGCTTATAAACAGCAGTGCCATCGTTAGTCACGGTGAGGCGCATGCTAGAAATCGAGGGCTTGGTCGGCACTGGGAAATTCTGCATCCCAATACTGAAAGATTGCTCGGACCTCACTTCCATGGTTGTAATGGAGAGTCTCTGAAGCACATCAAAAGCGTTCTGAGCTCAGATTCAGCTAGAACTCCAAGATATCGAAGATAGCCACCGCTACAAACCAAAAAAACATAAACTTTTTAAATTTGAAGGACAAAAGGTAAATTTTGCGACTTTTGCAGTAATTGCTATGGTTTACAGTGAGTTGGAAGACAGATAAAAATGATCGGAAGAGGAGAAGAGAGTAAAATATTTTGATATTTTGAGCTCCAAGGAGCTGAAATCTCTGAAACCCTAAACCCTAAAAGTAAAATACAAGAAAGGCAGATGTATCAAGCACCAACCAGCTCGAACAGCTAGCTGCTAATAATAATTTACAGTCCCAGGGAAAAATTACGAAATGAAGAAAAAGTTGGAAAACAGAAAAATTAGAGGTATTTAACAGATAACGATAAAAAAAAAGGGAGGTAAAAGCTTGAAAATGCACAAATCAGTGCAAGATCTGCACAAAAAACAAAGAAAAATCGAACCAAGCACAGCAAAATTTCTCCTTTTTTTCCCAAAATTTTCCAAAAAATATTAAGAAAATCTGCAAAAACTCACTGAAAAGAAAAGCCCGAAAAGAAAAACGAAAAAAAAATCTAAAAAAAAAATAGCATAAAAATGGCAGAAAATAGAACCTAGTGCACGCCTGATGAGCTCACGAAGGTGAAGAGATGACAACAGGAAAAATCGCCGCAATATTTCCGGCCCCCCCTCCCCCTCCCCCT